GTTAGAACAGAGTTAGAACACTGTTAGAACAGCTCAGTGAAGACACGTTGATGGTTAACAGTTGAAACTGTTCTCCACCTTCTTCAGCTGCAGTGCAGATTATCACAGATGCGTCATCACACTTCACATGAACGTAAGACTAAGAAACAATCTTAGTCATTTAACTGAGGGGTGGGGGCATGTCCTCTGAAGTACTTCACTTTGACATATTTATTATATATTAACGCTAAAATACTCTTAACTTGGAAGGATTTTAGAGTACATTCTTCCATGTAGTATATACTGAATACCAAACTGAATACTCAAACCAAACTCAGTGCTCAGTGCAGTAGGACTGATCATGTCAGTGATCAATCCAGGTCTGTTGGATTATAATAATCTGTATTCAACATATTAAACCATAGTCATATTTTCATCTGTCTCCTGTGAATCTGTCCTCCATGTAGGTTCCCCCTCAGATGTCCACGTGACTCCTTCCTGTGTATCTTTAAAAGATAGCAGTGTTTGCTGTAATTTTTTTTCCAACATGACAGTGAGGCTGTTAATGTTTCCATCGGTTTTTCATGCACTTTCCTCATGTACTTTGATATCAGTTCTGTACCTCAGTGTATAGTAGTGAAAAGACACTCTGAATGAAGACAGATGCCTTTAATTCATTGGCTGTGAGGAGAATGAATGAATGTGTCCATTGGGGTTTACACACACACACACACACACACACACATACAGTTGCTGGGGGCTGGGCACCAGATGAGCTCAGTGATAGAGACACAGCTAACAGCGTCCCTCTCCATCTGTCCCACACTTACAAACACACACTAATGCTCACCAGCTGGGCCAGCAGAGAAAGTGTGTGTCCGTGTCCGTGTGTGTGTGTGTGTGTGTGTGTGTGTGTGTGTGTGTTTGTGTGTGTGTGTGTTTTAACCTGACTGATTATTAAGGGTCATTAAGATAATGAAGTTGTTTATCTGATAAATCTTCTTCAAAGGTCAACAGGGTCACTCTCACTCAGCGTGTGTTGGACTGAGACAGAGACGCTCATCCATTCATGGTGGTGTGTGTGTCTTTTTTCTTCATCGTCTCCAGGATGTGTCCTGTCTGAATCGTGACACCAGTAAAGTGATCGTGGTGGACTGTAAGAGAGAAGCCTTCAGTCTGCAGCCCTTCAACGGCATGGCCCTGATAAAGTGGGATGGAAATTCAGAGGACAGGACGCTGTATGACCTGGCCAACTTCCTCAAAGGTACTACTCTAATGAGTATTTCTGACCTGATCATTGACGATCCTGTCCATCTTGGTCACTCCCACTGAAGATCTCGGAATCTTCACCTCTTCCACCTCCATCTCAGCCTGTAGTCTCGTAGGCACAGTTACTGTCTCTTACCCAGACATCACAGCAGTGATGTCGTCTTTATTAACTGGTCCATTGTTTGGTACAGTTCTAAAAACCTCACTTTAAATCCTGGTTGTTGAACCAGATTTTAGTTGGACTCTCCTGGTAAACATTTCTCTGTGGTTCCTGCCTTTATTCCTCAGCTATCGCTCTCAGTGGCGTGGATGACGTGCGGTCAGTGCTGGAGAACTACGCCCTGGAGGACGACCCCATTGAGGCCTTTAAACGCAGACAGGCTCAGCTGGCTCAGGTAGGAGGGGCGAGAAGATGGTCCTGAGACCAAGGTCCTGAGTTGGTGTTGTCAAGTCATGTGACTGGTGTGTCTGTCTGACAGGAGGAGGAGCAGCGATTGGCTCAACTTTCTAACCCCAAGAATCAGGGACTTTCGCTCGGCTCCATCACCTCACGGTTGTGGCGCTCCAAACAGCAGTGAGTCCCCGCCCTCCCTCACACTGCCACCAGTCACCGCCGGGCTCTCCACTGATGTCCAAGAGAAAAGGAGGGACCAGAGCAGAGGAAGGCGGGTGGGTCTACAGACTGTTGCTGGAGCATCTCCACCACCCAGGTTAGAAATCATGTCAGAGTGGCCAGGGCCTGTGGAGCTGCAAGGGGACATTGTCATTGGCCGGAGTATGTACCATGAGGAGAGACTTTCCTATTTTCTCGGCTGGAGGAGTCAGTGCCCCCCACCCTCCTCCCCCCGCCTCACCCCATGGTTTCACTGGTGTCTGCCACTGATTGGTGGTTGGGAGAAAACTCTGCAACAGCCTCATTAGCTGCAGTTGGAGACGCCACTCACAGAATCTGACCTGAGATCAGCTTCATCAGCTCCTGTGCCATGCTTTCAGAATGTTTTTCTTTACCCTTTGTGCCACAGCAGCGGCAAGTGTTTGTGAAAGAATTCAAAAAAACTGAAGAGTATTTAACAATGTGTGGACCGCTGACCAGAGATATCTGTCCGGGCTGTGATGTGGACGTGGTGGAAGCTGAACCAGTGAGGGACGGGAACAAACTGGACTTTGGTATAATCTATGAAACTATGCATAATTATACATAACTATGATAACGATTGGTGGAAGGAGTACTGTGGAGTACTGTGCAAAAGTTTAGGTCATTATGGAGGAACCTTTGTGCTGCGGGGGTTATCAGCAGCCATGTGAGGACGGGTCACAGCCTGGACAATTCTCCAGCCCATCAACCTTTCACACTTCCATTCACACCTTTGTTCAGTTTAAAGTGAACATTAACCTAATCTCCAATCTGCATGTTTTTGGACTGTGGTAGAACCTGGAGAAAACACACACAGGGAGGACAGTAGGACTCCAGACAGAAGACCTTGCAGTTAGAGCTGGGCATTGAACCAATAACCCCCTTGCTGCAGGACTGGAGCTCGAACCACATCTACCACTGTGTGGCCAAAGTTGTGGTATAGGCTCTATACAAGGCAGAACTGTTCAGTCCAGCCCAGAGTCCCAGGTGGAGCTGGATCCAGGCCCAGCAGAAGATATTGAAGATGTTCTCAGCCACTGGTCCTGTCCTTCCACGATGAGTGAGTTGTGATCTGAACACTGATCCGATCCAAGTGACGTGACTGTGAGGGTGTTCTCTTCTCTGTCACAGACCATGACGATGGTTGTCAGTCTTTAACTGCTGTTCCTTTATTGTTGGTGTTGATGTGAACTGGTCATTGATGGTGTCAATAAAGAAACAAACCAATCAGACTGTTGGGGTTTTTTTTATTTGAACTGCTCTGAGTGGAGGGTTAAGGTAAATCAGCCTGTGTGTGATTGACAGGTTTACAGGTAACACACAGACACACCTCTGCTGTTTGTTGTCGTTGGGATGAGGTGAAAATGGAGCCAGCTCACCCTGTGGAGACCTGAGTCCAGATCTGCCCCGCTCTGCTGGAGACCTGCTCCACTGCTGCTGAGCTTTTAATCCTCAGAAGGTGCTGTGCGGACACTCGCCCACCTCCCCACCCCCTGCCTCCCGTAGTTCTCCCAACCACTCACGTCTGCCTGATACTTACATTTATGCTGCAGTATTTCTATCCAGTGCAGAGAACCGTCATTCTCAACAACGTAAATGTCCTCCCTCTGCTCTGGGCAGTTTGGTCCAGTCTCTGCTCTCCTCCAGTCTGGACTCAGAGAAGTCTGTCCAAACCTCACAGTTGACTGTACAGGTCTCTGGTCTACTGGACTTAGTTTCTAACTTTCTTCCTACCATGATGATCATGTTGTATTTGAGAAAAATTCTCATAATAATTCTAGACCCTGATGAATGTTTTAAAACTAATATTTAAAACTCTTCCAAATAAAAAGAAGACTTAGTCATCAGTTTAGCTAAGGCTGGGGTTTGAGAGGATTTTGAGAAAAGAAAAACTAAGAACTTCCTGTCTCAGCTGGCTGGTCACGTGACCGGGAAAACGTCAGATATTTGGACAAAGAGTCCGATTTTGACCTCAGTGTTCTTATTTGTAAAACAACATCAAAGTGAAACAGCTGAGGTCAGAGGTCAGCTCCAGGGTTGTTTTTCAGAGTAAACCGAGGAGCAGCTTCATCTTCACTGACATCCACTGCTGATCCTGTTTAGATGTAGCTCCTCAGAGACTAATCCAGAGCTCAGATTCAGGCCTAAGCCCAGGATCAAGTGGTTCAGAGGAGATAAGAGGTTTTATCTGGGAGTCCAAGTCTTTAGCTGCTGCTCTGCAGTATTTATTTGACAAGTAAAGAAATCTGTGTGTTCTGTGTTTGACTGAATATAAAGAAACAACAGGAAAATACTGAAGTCAAATATATAAATACTCAGTAAGTTGAATATTTTATTTGACATCATTTATAATAAATAAAAAAATATTTTTACTTTTTTTAAAATTAGACACAGGCAGAGGACTGGTGCCTTTACCTTACAGCCACCAAAGTCAGACGTTCGATCCCCTAACTCTGATTCACTCTCAGTTCACACTCATATTCATTCATTACACCCAGAGCAGAACAGACTCATCTCAGTGTTTGAAACATTATTTGCCATGTCTCAGTGTCTCTGTTTCTGATCCCCCTTCCTCCTCCTCTCCCTCCTCTCCCTCCTCTCCCTCCTCCTGCTGCTGTGCACCTCTCTGAGGTGTGAATCTGGGAACAGTCTCACTCTACAGTTTGGACCATTTGCCTCCATGTTGTTCATGTGTGCAGGGGAGAACAGACTGTGGGGCTGAAACCTCACACCTCCTTATACACATGTCTAAAGCAACACACTGTGAACACAACACTGGGTCAGATGTTTGGTACCTGCAGTGTGTACGTGTGTGTGTGTGTGTGTGTGTGTACTGGTAAAAAGTCAGGTCCAGGGTTGGCAGTATTTGGATGAATACATATGAGTATGAAGTATTTTCTAGTATTTCTTCTACAGTTTCTACCTTCTCTGATCTCCATCCTCACTAGGTCTGATGCTGCATGGGGCCGTGGTGGGATATCCATCTGAGGTTGAGGGTTCTATTCCCAGTCATGTTCGCTCTTGTTAAAAGTTGAAAAGTTACGATTTTGAGTATCTGACGTCATAACTAAGTCAAAGTAGTGATGCTGACGAAGGAGATTCTTCTCACAGTAATGTGGAGGGCTCTGGGGGGCGTTTGTTCCTCTGCTTCTGCTCTCACAGGTGTTGCTCCTCACACCTCAGTCAAGTTTCCCACGGACGCTCAGTGTGTGTTCACACCCATCAGCCCCTGCGGCACACGCCGAGTCCTCTCACCTGAACAAAAGCCGCTTCTCTCAGACCATTTGGACACGTGCGAGGACAAAAGGTGACAAACGCTCGTTCTGTCTGCCTGTCTGTTGTGCTGTGGATTCTCACCCTCTCCTCCTCCTCCTCCTCCTCCTCCTTCATATCCATCTCTTAGCTTGGGCCACGCGCGCGTCTGCAGTGACGCGTGACGGAAGCGGTTTGTCGGCCTCTTTGATGTACATCGATAATCGCCTTCCTACACGTGCACGGAGGAGGGGCGCGTGGCGGCGCGCGTGTCTTTTGTGGAATCTGAAGGGGAGGGGAGGAGGTGTAAAGGGAGTTGATCGATAAGCAGATGGAGACGATCGAACATGCGCATATTGGCGAATAATGCTGAAGCTTAGGTGTGTGTGTGAGAGAGAGGGTGGGCGACAGAGAGAGAGAGAGAGAGAGAGAGAGCAGGTGTTATTATCATCCAGGAGGGGGCGGGGTCTGTTGTGCTTCTTTTAGTGTATGGCCTTTTTTCTGTTTTGGTTGATTTCTGTTTTATTCTTCGGCCTCGTTCTTCTGTGTTGACTTGTGTTTGTTTGTTGTTGTTTGAGTGGGTCACGTGGTTTAATTCATTGTTAAATTATTGTTCTGTGTGTGTTTGCAGTCTGCATATTCTGTAGGTTTATTGACACACACACACATGCCCACAATGAGTTCTAAACAAAGAGAGAAAAAGAGACTTGTTTTTCGTACGGGGGCTGAAGCGTGTCGTGGTCAAGATCGTGTGTGTGTGTTACAGGTGAAAATATTGTCGATCATGTCCAGGAACGTTCTGTCAAACACTGGACACGTACTTCCTCAGTCACGTGGTCCCGGACTTGAATGATTATGATTTTTTTTATCAGGAAGTATGTCCAGTTAAGAAACTAACGCTAAAGGCCTCTGTGTGTGTGTGTGTGTGTGTGTGTGTGTATCAGCCTGGACATGCATCTTAATCCAAATTTCCCAACTGACTTTCCAACTTTTTTTTTTCATATTTCAATTCAACCTTCATTTACTTGAACCAACAAGATCGTTTCTCCAGAACAGAGAGGAAAGATAGTTATCTAGACAAAGCAGCGCGCGGGCGTCTCCAGCCGCGGCATGAGACCGACGGTAGGTTGAGAGATCATAAAGTACTTCTGTGGAAACCTGTCCAACACTGAAAAGTGTGACATCACAAACTGTGCAACAGCTTCACAACAGCAGAACGAACAGAAGTTCTAAACAACAACAGCGGCAACTGCATATTTTAGAGATTTGCCTCCAGATTAGACTAGATTAGATTAGTTCAATCCACCGTGTACCATCACCGAGCAGTGATTTCTCTCAATGATTCGGATCCGGTTTTTCGGTCTGAACCGTTTGACCGTACGGAGGCGGTAAAAAAGAAGCGTTTGTCGCCTGACAGTTTGTTCTATTGCCCTGCTGTAATTACACCCCCCTCCTGCTCACGCCCACGCAGCCCCCGGTGGTAAAAGCAAATCAAAGCGCCCCCGTACCCATCTCCTCTCCTCGACCCCTCACCCCCCTCACCCCTCCCCTCCCCTCCCCATACACACAGACTTCTTGGCTGTGCGCACTGTAAGAAATATTTTTCTTTTTATCCATTTGTTTTCGTCGTATATAACAGAATAAACACTGCGGGACTCGAACCCCTGACGCTCTCAGAGCTACGCGTCTGTGCATGTTAAGGTGGAGCAGGAAAATAAATAAATCAATAAATACAATAGCAACAACCAGTAAAAGCAGGGCATGTTTTGGCACAGACTTCAGGCTGATGGGAAATTTGCCCCTAGATCTGCTCCTCTGGTCTGACCAGAAGTTTCAGGGTTTTTTTTTTTTGGTTTTTTTTTAGTGACGAAGAAAAGTTTCACTTTGAATGAATCAGGTTCCGTTTGAAACGTCGGTTGAGGAGAAGGAGATCACCTGGAGGTGAGCATTTTTTGCAGCCCTCCCTCCTTTCCTCCACCCCACCCCCGCCTGCCTCCTACCCCTCCCCCCTCCTCTAGGGTATATAACCTGAAGTTGGAGCGGAGGAGCTCCAGTCCAGAGTTCAGTCCTGGTGCAGATCCCGAGAACACCAGCGCTTCCCTAGCTCACAGCCAAACCACGGCACTGACTGCTCTGACTTTTCATACTTGTTTTATTCCAACGGAGTCGGAACACATTTTTCAGCTACTCCTCTTGTCTTTTCTTGGACCCTGTTTGGATTTTACGCATTGATCTCTCACAAACCCGCGTCTCCTGCGCCCCTAGCCATGGCGCGTCTCCTCCTCTGCTGTCTGCTCCTGCTGGTGTGTTCATGGAC